GCAGGAAGATGAAGAAAGACGGGGCACCGTGGGACCTCGGTTCCTCTAGGTGAGCTCTGTGTGGTCGAGCGACAGAATTCCTCTGCTCGCTTAGGGAAGTCAGGGATTTGGGGATCATCTTTCATTGGAGGTTCAAATATAACTAATATAACAAAGATGAGTCTCCTGAGCTTAGGAGCACAACATGGACCCCCAGCGGCCCCCTGGTTAACGTGGGGGTTGGGGTCTTACTGAGGTCTTTGCAGTACCCAAAGGCTCGAGCTCACGGGGAGCCAGGAGCGAGGTCCTTCATCCGCTCAGCCTCAGGGAAACTGAGTCGCCAGCGCTTGCCCCAAAGCACCGGGCAAACTCCAAGACGGACGAGCTCCATCCGCCAGGGCTGCCAGCTGGATGCAGGAGCGGGGCTCTGGGAGGGGCTGGATGCACGGGCTAAGTCAGCCTCTGGCCGCAGTGTGGCGGCGGATTGGTTTTTCAGCAGCAACAGCGCGGCTGGTATTGTCGCATCTTTGCAGGAACAAAATAGCCTGTATTTTCTCTGTAAACTCTTTGGACCTGTTAATGACAACATCGCAGGATAATAGCCTGTCTCCTCGGTCAGTTCTTTCTGCTGCTGTGTCCACCCAGCGCCCTCTGCAGCCAGGACGACACCTGGACTCGGGTGGCTCTCTCCTGCCGCTGGCGCTGGCGTGTGGTCTTTCTGCTCCAGGCACCATGAGGTCAGAGGTCAGCGTGGTGCTCCCTGCACCAGAGGCTCAGCGCCAACTCTGCCCACCGAGCGCGCAGGGGGATGGAGCCGCCCAGGGACCAGCACTTTCCTCATCCACCGCTTGGTCCTCAACTGCTTTGGGACAGAGTCGGCTGTGCAGTCCTGCGGCCACTTCTCCTAACCCCACTGGGCTTTCCTCTCCCTAGCGGCCCCATCTCCGCCCACCTGCACGCTGCTAGCTCCTTCCTCCTGTGCGCAGGTCCCCGTGGGCTGCGGGCCCCTGGCGGGCTGCGGCCTCTGCCCCAGGAATCCGGCTGTGAGCGCGTGAGGTCTCTCTTCCTTCTGACCAGGGCTCTCGCTGAACAGGCCTTTCCCTCGAAGCCGTCAGTGTCAAGGTCTCGGCCGTGCTCGCTGCTCCTGTTGGTGAGTTCTGGGCCATCCTTCACAGCCAGAGGTGACTGGCTTTTTATTTAACTGGCACTTGGTTACAAACCAGGCAGACAGCAGGGCCTCGGGAATAAACACACGTACACACTCTGCCTGTGGCTCCACCGCCGGCGACTACCCGCCCAGTGATTCCCACGGCCCAGCGGCAACCTGCACTCCCGGCTGCCCCACCGCGTCCGCTCTCGCTCCCCCGACGTCGGAGTCCAGGGCTGAGCACCCACGGGAGGGGAAGCCCTGCAAACCAGCACTCCCTTCTGAAAGTGGTGGGGACAGAGCTGTGTGTGAGGGGGGGCTGGGCTGCGTCTTGGCTCGTTCTGGGAAGTGGGTTTTGCAGAACCCCTCGAGCCGGGCAGCGTGTCTCTACGTTGCTCCTGCAAGAACGAGGCTGCGGGTACCACGTTCGAGTGCACCTCTCAGGTTCCATGTAAGGAGGCTACGTAACGATGAAAGGGACAACGGAAAATCCCCCACAGGGTTCTGCGGAGACACCCCCAGCACCACTCATCACTGTCCTCATCCCCCGCCCCCGTCAGACCAGGCTCTGTAGCCTGGAGCGCAGGGAGACTGGCTGAAGAGAAGGTGGGGCGGCAGGTGCATCAGGGGGAGACCTGAAACGATGATTCAGGAGAAAGGCAACTGACCTCATTAACGGTAGTGTTTCTTCAGTTCGGGCTAAAAATGCCTTCGCGCAATAAAACCCACGGGCTGACCACCCGCGGTTCTATTCTTGGAGTGGAGGACACATAAGCACGTTCGGTGAGGAAGCCGCGTGCCTCCCAGTCAGTAACTCAGCCACCCAGGGGTCCCCTCTGCCTGTTTCGGGGCACCCCTTGGGAGGCAGATCTGGGCCGAACCAACCCAGGGACCGCTTCTGAACCGACTGTGCAATAACGCCGCCTGTCTGCATGGCCGGCCGAGGCGCTGGCCGAGCTGCAGGCATGGACCCACCCGGCTTTCAGACACGGGTGCCGAGGACAGCCTCCTTGGGGGCACCGCCACATGGCAGGTGGGCGAGCGAGGAGGCTTGGAGGCAGTTTACCTCCAGAGATAGAAACATTCAGAGAGGCAAGAGCAGGCGCAGCTTACAGTCAGAGAGCTGGTGGTGACAGCCCCCAAGGTGGAGCGATGGCGTGGTGGGTGAGGAGGACACGGGTCCGGGAGCCAGAACACTGAGTCCGAGTCCTGGTTCTACCACCTGTTGACTGTGTGTCCTCAGGCAAGTTACTCAGCCTCCCTGAGCCTCAGTTTCCTCAACTGTTATTGGGAGCAACAGTATCCACCTACAGCAGCGGTTCTCAACCTGTGGGTCACGACCCCTTTGGCAGTCGACCGACCCTTTCACAGGGGCCGCCTAAGACCATCCTGCATATCAGATATTTACATGATGATTCCTAACAGTAGCAACATGACAGTTATGAAGTAGCAATAAAAATAATTTTATGGTTGGGGGTCACAACATGAGGAACTGTATTTAAAGGGCCAGAAGGTTGAGAACCACTGACCTACAGGGTTGTTGTGAGGGTTCAATGAATGACTTTGTAAAGGCCTCAGGACAGGGCCCAGTGCATAGTATTTGTTAAATTAATGAAGAGAGTGGGGCCCTATAGGAAGAGTCTGAATAAAGGTGGTGACACCA